GACCCAAATAAACAAAATAGAAAGTGGGAAAAAATGATAATAATATAGAGATTAAAAAAGTTCATATAGCCAAAATACTTTTGATGTTGTAAAATATCATCAAAACTTCTAACAGAAATGCTGAATAGAACAGTGTAACTTATTACTGTTGATTCTAGCATTAAGACACAGAACCAAACAGAGAGCTGCAAAAATATTTAAATTAAAGTAAGGGGAGAATCCATAGGGCAAACCTGAAGCCTGTTATGTAGAGTCTCACAGACCTGCCTTATTAAACCATTCTTCAGTGTAACTTTTTAAAAAGTGTGAGTGGAATAATAAAAGTAAAAAAGTATAAGTGGTTCAGAAGACAATTTCAAGTGTTTCAAGACCTCTTGGATGGAGGGAGGTAAAAGAGGGTAAAGGGGGATAAATGGTGACAGAGGAGACTTGACTCTGGGTGGCGAGCACACAATACGACATGCAGACGATGTGTTATAGAACAGTACACCTGAATAATACACCTACATAATTTTATTAACTAATGTCACCTCAGTAAATTCAATAAAAAATTTTTAAAATAATATAATTTAGAAACAAATTTTTAATTCGAGTATACCATAAAACAAACAAACAAAAAGCCTCTTGACCTTTAAGTAATCTACTTCTAAAGCAAAAATAGGTGTCTCATCTCCTTATTCCTATAAACCATTAAAGGCTCAGGAAGAAAGGTGATCACCCTAGATATGGAATAAAATGTGCTCCAACAGATTAATAATTTTGATCAATTTCTACTCTTGGAAGTTTAACGCATCCTGTACTTACAGGTAGTTTGATTTTATTAAAACTCAGAAAATTATGAATTACGGAACTACCCACATTCTTGGTTCTGCTTGAAACAATACAGTCTACACACAAGTATAAGTTATTAACACTGTAATGAAGATGCATGCAGGAAGGGGGGGTCAGCATTTTAAGAAATTCCTAAATCACAGATGTCCATATTTGTAAAGGAAAAAATCAAAATTTTAAAAAATTTTAAAGATTTATTTCTTTTTATTTAATATTTTATTTATTTACTTTTAGAGAGAGGGGAAGGGAAGGAGAAAGAGTGGGAGAGAAACATCAATGTGTGGGTTGCCTCTTATGTGTCCCCTACTGGGGACCTGGCCTACAACCCAGGCATGTGCCCTGACTGGGAATTGAACCAGCGACCCTTTGCTTCACAGGCCCATGCTCAATCCACTGAACTACACCAGCCAGGGCCAAGGATTTATTTATTTTTAGAGAGAGAGGAATGGAGGGAGAGAGGGAGAGAAACATCAGTTCGTGGTCGCCTCTCACGCACCCCCTACTGGGGACCTGGCCCGCAACCAAGGCATGGCGCCCTGATTGAGAATCAAACCTACAACCTTTTGGTTGCAGGCTGGTGCTCAACCCACTGAGCCACACCAGCCAGGGTGAAGTTTTTTAATTATTTTTATAACCAAGAAGAAACAAAAAGGAAAGTGGAATGTGTCAGAAAACCTGAGTTCCAGCCTTTCCCCTAACTGTGGCCCCTTAGTCAAATCACTTAACAAGGCCTTACCTTTTATCACATTAACACCCCTGAGGGTCCCTGGGAAAATCTTAAGACTATGATACATTTTAAAACCTGTAAAAAGCCAATTATTAACAAATGAAAAAAGCATTCATTCATTCAACTAATACTGTATTCACCAACCAATCACTGTGTCAGGTACTGAGTAGAGCCCTGTGAATACAGCAATGAACATGACACTCCTTCACAAACAGGATATATGGCTTATTCCCTTTATATCCGCCCTACCAGTTTTCAACCCTGTTACTTAAAAAAAAGAGAGAGTACCGCCATAAAATAAGAAAATGGTAACAGTTGCTTTATATTTGTAAAGCTTTTTTGTTATTGTTGGAGACAGAAAATCATTGGGCTATGTTCCTTTGCCTGGCAAAAGAAGAAAGACATTTCTTACCCCTCCCCTCTTCTCCCCATCCTGCATTTACCACAAACAGCTTGCTTTCTCTGGATATTTTCGAGAGTTCTAAAACTACACGTTCCCATCCTTTCCACCAGGTGATCCAGCACCAAAAAAAATCACTATTATGGATAATAGATCCTTATGGCGACACCTCTCTTTCCGCCTCCGTAGAGAAAAAAGATAAATTTCACTACTTGCACTTAATGTCAGAGTGCTCACCTTATTCTTACCATTGCCAGCGTGCTAAAGTGAACAAGGTTTCTCTAACCTTAGGGAAAGATGTCCTGTATTTAAGAGTGCCTTGCTGCCCTGACTGGTGTGGCTCAGTGGATTGAGCACTGGCCTGCAAAGCAAAGGGTCACAGGTTTGATTCCCAGTCAGGGCACATGCCTGGGTTGCAGGCCAGGTCCCCAGCAGAGGGTATGTGAGAGGCAACCACACACTGATGTTTCACTGCTCCTTCTCCCTCCCTTCCCCTCTCTCTAAAAATAAATAAATAAAGTCTTAAAAAAAAAAAAAAGAGTGCCTTGCTTTATAAAGTTTACTTCCTTAACTCACAAATATCACCAGGAATTTAAAGGACTCAATCAATTCTTTAAATAAACTAAAATACCTACTAAAATTCAGAGTTTAGAATATGTTCTCCACTCAGCAAATTAAGTCCTATCATTTAGCATTCTGCATGTGTCATGTCAGACGGGAAAATACACAGGCTTTAGAAAACACAGATTAAGCTCGTCAAGCAAAGAACTAGGTCTGACTGTCCTGATTTTCAGCAAAAACACTTCCAAATACATATAATGTTAGACAGAGTTTAAATGCTAAATTCATATTATATGAGCATAACACATCTAGATGAATATTATATAAAATAGTATAACACAAATATTGTATTGTACCTGTAATAAATTGACAAAAGCATATTTTTTTAAATATTTAAAGTACTAATGCATTCTCACACCATTCCAAGCTGGATACTTAGGCCCTTGTGACAGAACATCTTATACCTGGAAAATCCAAGAACCAGCAAGTTTTCTGGAGATCACTAGCCACCAATCTGGAATAGACTTCAAACCAGCACCATCTCTGACAAGTTCTAGTCAAGGTGTCGAATGGTGAAAGGAACATAAGTGGAAAAATAAAAATACAAAGTGGAGAAAAAGAAGGGAGAAGCCAAGAAAGAAAGTCAGAGTGAAAAAAGCACAAAGAAATGCAATTCTTCTGTAACCCATGGGTAAGAAGGGTATTTCTGATTCCCAAACTTCACAGCAAACTCTCATCATTAGAATACACTCTACTGAAAACACAAGATCACCTGTTTGGGAGTGAATATTTGTGACTGCTCAAAATTCATATGGAGAAGCAAGCCCTAGTGTGAGAACATTTGGAGGGGGTGCCTTTGGGAGGTAATTAGGTCATGAGGGTGGCCTCCGTGGGATTAGTGTCCTTATAAGAGGAAGAGAGATAGGCCTTGCTCCAGGTGAGGACACTGCAAGAAATCAGCTGTCTACCAGCCAGGAAGTCCTGGAACCCAATCATGTGGGCTCCCAGATCTCCAAACTGCTGGCCTTCAGAACTGTGAGAAACAAGTATTTAAGTCACCTAGGCCATGGTATTTGTTATGGCAAGCCGAGATAACTAAGACACCGCTTGATGTGACTAGTAAACATAGTGTGGCCTTGAACCTTAGAAATAAAGAGGGGGCAAGTACAGCACCAAGATTCCACTCTGGGTCGCCTGCTATTGAAAAAGGGTACACGACTCCACTCTTGCCCTCCACGAGCCCTTCTCCTCCTTCTACTGGTTTGGGAGTTAAGAGGTTGAAAAGACTAGGACTTCCGAATCATAAAAAGAAATCTGGCCTCAGAAAGTGGTTAAAGAAATTGAAAAGTCTGGCAAGGAAACCTTCGCAATTACGTGGTCCTCGCCCCTCCCATAACTCATCATCCAGCCCTGAACGATTTTCTTTGCTTCCAAGTCTCCAGGACTAAGTTTGATAGCAATGTTTCGTGCACGCCTTCTTCTTTTTCTTTTTTTAAGAGCAACCAATTTGTTCCATTACAGACGTCTCTAATCTGATGTGAGCCTGGCTGGGTTGGCGCGGCTTCCTGGTGTGGCTCCAGGACCAGGAGGCCGCGGACTCAAGCGCCAGAGTTAGAGGTCCAGCCCAACTGCCCCGTTTCAGGAAAGCCTCTCTGCAAAACACGGCCACGGACGGCAAAACTGGCCCAAGTTCCCTGGCCATCTTTTCCCAAGTCAGGCTTCCCACGGCATGCTTCCTCCTAAAAAGGAAGAAACCGGCCTAAAGCTCAGCTCTCGCCTGCTAGCATTTACCTATCACAGAAACTTGTTTGCAAAACAGATTCGAGGCACCTATAAACTTCACAGGAAATGCAGAACCTCGATAGTCGCAACTCAGATTTAGTGAGCGCCTACTATCGTCAGGCCCGGAGTTTCTCTTAGCGCCTCCTCCCCACCCAGAGGCGCGGGGACCGGGAAGAAAGAAGATAGAAGGCCGGGTCGCCACCGCCACTCCTTGCTATTACACTGCCCTCCAAGCCTCTCAGGGGGCCACAGGCCGCTGAATTGACCAACGCAGAGGGTCAGGGAGGGGACCCGACCGTTGACTCTACGTGGGCGCTAAGGGCGTCCCGGGTGGCAGGGAAAACGCCCGGAGTGGCCATGAGACGCCTCCTCGCTGAGAACTGCCCCCCCGCCCCCCCCGCCCCCCCGGCAGCCGGCCGCCGAAGCCGAGCGGCAGAGGCCGCCTGGCGCGGAAGGCAGGAGCCAGCCCTCAGCCTCCCCGCCCTTCCTCCTCCTTCCCTGGCCCCGGGCGCCCCCAGCACGAGCCCACGTGCACAAACTCAAGGGATCCGAAAAGAAGCCGCTTCTCCCTGGCCCCCTCCTCGTTCCCCACGAGCAACCCCGCCCCGCGGAGACACGTGGCATCGGGGGTCCTACAGCCCACGGACACCCGGGCGCTGTGGGACTGGGGCTGCAGCGCCCGCCGCGCTCACCACTCACTTGCTGGCCCGCGCGGGGCTTGCCCTGGGGCGCTCTCCTGAAGAAGGAGGTCCTGGCGGTGAAGAAGAAGTCCTCGGAGTCCTCCTCCAGGCTGCTGTAGCCGCTGCTCATGCTGCTGGTCCCGTCGCGCGCGGGCCGCCTCCCCCGGGCGCAGGTGGCCAGGCAGGGGGCGCCGCGCCCGCCCACCCCGTGAGGTTCCCGGCGCGCGGCCCAGAGCCGCCGACCCGCAGTCCTGCTGCAGCTGTGACCGCCGCTCAATCCGTCGGTGCCGGCCCCTCCTGCCGCCTCCTCGCAGGGCTCCTGGCGCCGCCCGGCCTCGGAGCGCCCGGCGACCCCGCCTCCCAGGGCCCCGCCCCGAGATCCGCTCCCGGGGAGGCTCCGGTCACGCCCCCTCACGGCCGCAGGTAGGCACGGGTTCCCCGCCCTACTTGCGGTAAAGAACGTGAAAAGCCCCGTTCGAGGAATGTTGTACTGGGACTGTGTTCCGGGTGGTTTCCCCAACCTCCTGGAAACTTCTAAGTCTTCTGTGATCAGTCCACCGCCCCCTCCCGGAGTCCGGCGGGAGGAGGAGACTGCCCGGCCAAGGGGCCCCCAGACCCTCGGGCGTCCTGCAGCGGTTGCGCTCGGAGCTGAACTCTCACGCGGCTCGCCCCTCCGGGAGGGTTGGATATTAGCAGTGATGAGCGAGCGGCGAGCTAACAACAGGGTTGAGTTTATTCAAATGAAAACATCCTGTTCATGCAGTTGAGTTTCGGTTTTTTTCCTGTCGCCCTTCTCTCTAGCAAGGGTTCATTCCCAGATTAGGACAGCCAAGGTCGTTATACTTGTACAGTCCACCTGGTGCAAAGGGCCGGGGTTGGGGGCGGGGGGAAGCCGTGAACTAGTTCTGTAGTTCAAGCTTATTAATTAGTCGCGCTTTTTTAAATGTCCCCTCCCACAACCTGCTTTAAACCGACCATTCAACAACGGGGGTGTACGGTTCAGGGAATTCTATTCGTCTCCTACCAAAAATAAATAAATAAAGGTTCCGTATTTTCTCAAATCCTTCCGGTCGGGTAATCCTCTTTTAAAATGTAAAATTGTCCTCCAAACCACCTGTGGGTACCTGTCAATTACGTCTTTCTGTTTTGGGGTTGATTTAAATAACTCTAGTTTACCTGCGGAGATTCTGTTGGAAAGGCAGTTTCTTGAAGTTTAGCACTGCTATGTTAAGCAGGCGGTAGGAGAGGTTTCATAGGAGGACGGGGGTTAGGAAACAAAGTTTTCACTTTATAGCTAAACGTTCTTGCATTATCTCTAATCTTCAAAACAACTTGATAAAGTAGATCAAACTATTTTATACTCAGTTTACACCTACAGCAGTTGAGGCTTAAAGACAGAAAAGTAGGTTTCTGTCTTTCTGCTTAAAGACAAAAATTGAGCCCTGGCTGGTGTAGCTCAGTGGATTGAGCACAGGCCTGCGAACCAGAGGATCGCGGTATGATTCCCAGTCAGGGCACATGCCTGGGTTGCAGGCTGGTTCCCTGCAGGCCAGTTCCCATCAGGGGATGCACGAAAAGCAACCATACATTGATGTTTCTCTCCCTCTCTCCTTCCCCTCTAAAGATAAATAAATAAAATCTTTAAAAAAAAAAAGACAAAAATTGGCAGGGCTGGGCCAATTCTGATATGAAGTCCAGGTACTCTAGGTACTCTTCCAGATTCTTCTCTGCTTGGTCCCTGGTCAGCCGCGGTCATTTGTGGACTAGTGGGAGGGAGAGCTGCTCTGGAGATGATAGGAAGGAGGGACTTGGCTCATGAGTCATTCTATCCCCAGCAGAGAGAGGGCTTGCAAACCTGCTCTCCCTCCCTAACTCACACATCCAGCGTGTAAACTTGTGTTTTACTCCAAGTGATTCACACACACAACTCCAGGAGGCAGGCCTTGCAGTTCATTTAAAAGATCCTGCAACATTGAAGCCTCTTCCCAGTGAGGGGAAGCAGACCAAAGTAGGACTTCTTAAAAAATTAAGGATCATACTTATTTTTAGAGAGAGGGTGAGGGAGGGAGAAAGAAGGGGAGAAACATCAATGTGTGGCTGCTTCTAGGGCCACCAGGGACCCAGCCCTCAACCCAGGCATGTGCCCTGACTGGGAATCAAACCAGAAACCCTTTGGCTTGTAGGCTGGCACTCAATCCACTAAGCCACACCAGCCAGAGCCCCAACATAGGACTTTTTTGGAAGTATTTTAAACTGGTTTTGTTTTTTTTTTTAATGACTCAGGAAAAACCTTCAACCTTCTCCCTAACTGCCTAAAGTATTTAGATAAAGGATCTGCTCCGGGAAAGGAGCTTTTATCATAGATAACTAGTTTAACATCAATTAGGAAGGGGAGGAGCCTCGAAAATCCCCTTTGATCAAAGTCCTTTCTCTGTACCTTGGTTAAAGATGGCCCAGCAAACACTATTTCACCGAACATTTGCCGCTCTGCTTCCATGTGAATTGCCTTCTTCCCCTTTGAAGTCCTAACCATAACCACCCTTCTATTTAGCTCCATATGTCATATAAGCCTGAACTGCCCAATCTGTCCTGTTCCCACATTTTTATGGAAACATCATTTTATGTACATATGTAATAAATTGGTCATTTTCTCCTGTTAATTTATCTCATGTTAATTTGATTATTGGCCCAGCCAGAAGAACTTAAAAAGGTAGAAGGAAAATTATTTTTCCTCCCCCACACCAGTCACATAGCTACTGAATAGTTAGAAACCAGGAATTCTAATTCCATACTGGTTTGCACAGTCTAAGCGGATCCCTGAGTACGCCACGCACATAACCTAGTGTAAATGGATAGGATGATTTGCTTACTTATGATAGATTTTTGTTACTTGGTTTCCATTATTTTAGTAACATTAATTCTTATTAAATACTCAAGTTTAAGAGTAATGCATAGGATAAAGAGCTTAAATAACTTGTTTTATTGTGGATGAAAGGGGGATATAACCTCACCCAGAACAAATTATTTTAAATAGTGTCTGCAGCCCTGGCTGGTGTAGCTCAGTGGATTGAGCATGAGCCGGTGAACCAAAGAACTGCCGATTTAATTCCCAGTCAGGACACGTGCCTGGGTTGCAGGCCAGGTCCCCAGTGTGGGATGCATGAGAGGCAACCACACACTGATGTTTCTCTCCCTCTCTTTCTCCTTCCCTTCCCATCTCTCTAAAAATAAATAAATAAAACCTTTAAAAAAATAGTTTCTGCACACTTTGAAGAAAAATATTAGAAGGAAAAATAAATAAAGTGCTTTATGATTCATTATTTGATAAATAGGATTTTTTCATGGTATTTATTTTATAAGTTCCAAAGGACTTAGTTAATTTTTGTATCTGTCAATGCACCATCAGCAGTTACAACAAAAAGGCATAATTGAACAATGAAATACAAACACGGATTTTAAACAACAAAGAACAAACACCATAAAGGAAGGAAGGAAGAATTGGCATTCTGTTTCTTAAAAGCAGTAGCATAATCATATTTCTATATTTTTCTCATAGTAATCTTTTCTAAAATAATTTTATTTATTTACTTCTTAGAGAGAGGGGAAGGGAGGGAGAAAGGAAGAGAGAAACATTATTTGGCTGCCTCAGGCACACCCTGACACATGCTCCCAATGCCGGACCTGGCCCCCAACCTAGGCGTGTGCTCTGACTGGGAATCCAACTGGCTACATCTCAGTTTGCAGGCCAGTGCTCAGTCTACTGAGCCACATCAGCCAGGGCCTAATAGTATTCTTAATCTTTTTAAATTACAAATTCAGCCCTGGCCCGGTAGTTGGTTGGTGCAGGTATCATCCTCACATGCCAGGGTTGTAGGTTTGACCCCCGATCAGAGCATACACAGGAATCAACCAATGAGTGGAGAGATAGGTGGAACAGCACGTAGATGTTTCTTTCTCGTTCACAAATCAAGAAATCAAAATAAATACATAAATAAAAATGATGAAGTTAAAATTTGGCTCATGAAATTAATATTTGTAAAAATGTGAAATGTCATTAAACAACTAGACATTTTTAACATTTGCAATTCAGTGAAGGGGTGGAATAAATCAATGTATGCAACCAAGTCCAGTTGTGAAAGGACTTTCTGTCAGACACAGAATAGAATTTATAAGTGGGCTCTACTATCAAAAATATTCCAGTGACGCAAAAGCCTGATGATTTAGACTTATAGCCTACTAAGCTTTTCTTTGAATGGAGAATATATTTAAAACAACTATATACAAATATTATAAACACACGTTTTATAATTTTAATCATCCTGTACATCAAATTATTTTCCTTAAATTAATGTAAAAGGAGAGGCTTTCGTAACAGTTTACGCTTCTTGCTTACCAGATAAACTACCCAGAAGAAAAATAATAATTGGCAAGTGATTACATATCAAAAAGTTTAAATAATTATTCAAATTTTTAAGTACTGTATATCTGCAAATAGTAGAAATTTGAATATAATAGTGTAGAAAATATTAGGCACTGCCGAGCCTTTGATTAAATATATTTAGATGTGAGATTTTTCTTTTGTCAACTTGTTCTTATAAAACACAGCATCAAGCAGGAAAATATTTCTAGATTTTACTATGTAAAAGTTTAACTATTTTTAACACATATGTACACACAGTGGTAAAAGACAAAAGAAAGAATGGGGGAAATATTTGCCATAAAATTGTTATTCTTAAAATATAAAGAGTTCATACAAATCAATAAAAACTTTGAACACCTAATGGCAAAGAAACCAAAGAGCATGACAATCAATTCATAAAAAATGAAATATAAATAACTTATCAGTCACTTAGGCATTAAAACAATCACTATATCAACAAATAGTCATTGAGCAACATACTAACCACCAGACCCTGATCTCAGCACAAGGGACACATCACTGGACAAAATAAACAAAAGTCCTTGGCATATATTTTAGCGTGGATTAGAGGGAGATGGGAAAAATGAATAAGGGAATAATATAGTATGTTGGAAGGTACTAAATGCTCTTACATAAATCATGGAAGAAAGATAAAGAATATAGTTTTATATAGATTGGTTACTGAAACTCACTGAGAAGGTAACTTTTCAAAGACATGTAGGAGATAAGAGAGCTGGCCATGCAGGTATCCTTGGGGAAAGCATTTCAGGCAGAAGAAACAGCAAGTGCAAAGGCCCTGAGGCAGGAGTGTGCTGTTATGTTCACCTAAGAGCAAAGAAGCTGGTGTGTCTGAAGTGGGTGAATGTAAAAGAGAGTGGTAGCAATTGCTATCAGAAAAGTAATAGGGAGCGGGCGGGGACT